TTAACTTGTTTGCTTAGTAATTATTGAAATTTAATGAATTGCATTATCTGCAGCAAGTTGCTTTCATTGGGTCGTTAGTCAGTGAAGCCAGTCAATCTTGTTTTTTTCCAGTTACGCCAAATGATCATGCGGTCGCGACGCCCACCTCGCTCTCTTCGGATACCAATGTTTTGAATCGTTTTCTTGATGCGAATAGTGAGCGAAAAATAAGTAGACCTGAAAATCTGAAAGTCGCAATGACTCATTCGTGCAGCAGCGACGAGTGAGTTTTTTTTTAACTTTTTAGAGTAGGGTTGCTCTAATGTAGCGCTTTATTTTGGCATTTTATTCGTCGTTTTCCGTCTCTGTTATTTGTCTTTGATGCTCTCGACAGCGCTGCTTCCTTGACAGGTTTTGAGCTTCTTACATCTCTGTGGAGCTCAGTTCATGCGATCAAATGGTCCTTGTCTTATTGTCGCCCTCGCCGATGCGATATATAGACATTCAGTGACTAAAACAGAGCTTTTTTTCTGTTTTGCGTAATTAAACCTATGCTTGGACTAGTATGAATGTAGCGTGTTTGTGTATTTATCATCCTGTAGCATGTTTATCAAATGATCTTGATCATGCAATGAAACAGAAAACGGGAGGAGAAACATAGGCTCTGAAGAGTCGAAATTCCCTGGAATGGAAACTGACATTTTCTACCGGACCGAAGCGTATGTAAAGGAAGGTTCCAGAAGGTGGAAGGATAATTTACAAACATATATATATATATATATATATGTGTATATATATGTATATATATATGTATATATATATATACATATGTACATGTACATGTATATATATATATATACATATACATATACATATATATATATATATATATGCATACGGATGATCAGAGGTTGAATAGGCGTCACCTGAAAGGAAGTAGGCTCTCCAGAAGTTAGTGTGAGCGTGCAGTTTGTGAAATAGGGGGCGAAAAGATAATAAATCATTGTGAAACAATCGATTTGAGAAATATCAGTCGGAAGCAAAAAATTATAACATGACAAGTTTTGGGGGGTTTTTTTTTGATTTTGCAAGAGTGTTTATATTTTTTCACACTTTACCAGATTAGTGTTAATTTGTGATTCCATTATGTTTCCTGATTTTCAACGTTTAAGTTTGAAATTCTTGTCTTAGTAAATCCGATTTTTTTTCATTCGATGCAACTGCTTCTGTGATGCCATATCCGTGTAGTATTATTCAGTTGCGCGTTTTCTGAATTTTTAATTTTAATCGCTAAAATAATTCATTT